GTACCAATACACCATTGCAGAAATGACACTAATTTGAACCAATGCAGCAGAAACTTCAAATTCAAAATTTCATGAAGGGTCAAATTCATTGTGATTAATTTTATAATTCAACGAGGGAGGACTATAATCAGAAAAATTGACCACGATTAAGATTAGAGTTCAAGTGAGGACACCGCACCCAGAACAGCCTATAACTGGAAACTGCGTTTTCAGAAAAACGCATTTAAAGTTTTGTTTTTGATGTACTGCGCAGACTTTTCTATGCAGGTACCCTGTTTTGGTGTTTTTGGGTGACCTAACTCTTCTATTGAAGAATGCCGGGTAGATTTTGCGATACATTTTGGGTTTACACTCTAATATATTTAATTTAAAAAAAGCTGTTTATAGGTCATTATTACGCCCAACAGTCATTTAGGTGGCAATATGAAGTATAAATCATTTCAATCACGCATGATTAACGCAAAATGAAAGAATATCGATAGTGAGTAAAGAAAGGGGTAACTAGCACCTTATAGGCCTTTAAGTTTATAGGCCCGTATTACGTCCAACAGTCATTTTGGTGGCAGTATGCGAAGTATACATTTTTGGAGGAATGGATAGTTTGAGAGGAGAATAAATTATTTCAATAGCTCGTTTATCTGAAATAAAAACAAATCTTTATAAAATGAGATCAAAAAATAAAATAATTCAGTCTTCTTTGGCCGTGCGCATAGGTCGTTCTTGCAGCCATCGATCCAGAGGCCTGACTTAACTCGGAAAAAAAAGGTTTTTCGACCTAGAGCTGTTACCTATCTATATTCTATCGCTACCACAGCATAGTCCAGGGTACCTAGAATCCGAAAAGCAGATGGGCGTAATAACGACCTATACGCCTTGGGCTGTTCTTGGTGCGGTGTCCTCAATTAACAACACAGCTCTAACAAAGATGTTAACTCATTACCATTAACGGAGGTGTTGTCTTCTGAGCTCAATGCTGGAGCAGGATGATCCATCTCCATACCTGCACCATACATGGAATCACGAAATGAACTGCAAGAGGAGAGTAAACTGAAAAGTAAAAAAAAATTACCAGAATTACTTACCTACTTGCAATACAAAGGATGAGAAAGAAAAAAACCAATTTGACTGAGACAAAATTGGTCAAAAGGTAAGAAGAATTTCACGTTACTAGACTTGAATGAAAAAATCATCTTCTGCTGATTAGCAAAACTTCCACAAATACTTGTGATATAAAATTACAGCAATTCTAGAGTTCTAACACCTAATATCAATTTCTTTTTCCTTTATTTTCTGATGTCTCCCTCTAATTGTGCATGGACTTCAAGACAGAGTTCTCTGACAAATTTTAAAAATACTTGGTAGTGTTGGAAAGTAAAAATTAAAACTTAACATTACCTGGTCCTTTTCGGTGGCGCAGGGGCAGTTTTGCCTCTTTTATTGGTTGGCCGCCTTACAGGAGCCGCATTACTGGTACTGGTGCTAGAGGAGTTTTTCCCTCCACTGAAAGTGCTTAGTTTACTGACTGGAGTTTCTGCAAATAGAAGTTTACTAGCTAAAATTTCACTTTAATTTATTGAGCATCAAAAAAAAAGCTCACAGGATTTCTTTACTGGATTTTTAAGACATAAAATCCTCCAAAAATTTTAATTGATATTCTTTTCTAAAATAAGATAAGATATCAAGAGGCAAAATATCTCTGCCGGCAAATGTTAGCAGTGATCGTCCAAGGATCACCTTCCATTGTCATCTAACCTCTTGGTTGAACAGGCTTTGATTACCACAGAGTACATAGAGTTATAATGTAAGTGAGAGAGCTGGCGCCACTTTTAAGCATTTTCCAGGACACGAATTATGAGACTCCTGTGTGACGCAGGGTCCCATTATCGATACCTTATTGATTGTTTGCGATACACGGGGACCCAGTCATCCGATGTAAACAAAGCAGATAGGAATTACCATGTATTGCACACAGCCATTTTGGATCGAACATGTATCGAAAAAGTGACCCGAGCTCGGCGCACACCGGGCTCGGAACTCGTTGAGCAGAACATTGCGCCAGCTCTTCCATTTACATTACGACTCTATATACTCTATGTTGATTACTTAAAACAGAGACTCATCAAATTGTAAAGAGAGTATTTTTCACTTGCAATACCAAGATTACATGCTAGATCCCTCCAACAAATGTCCATGAAAAAATGGCAGAAACAATGAGCTGATGTGAAATCTTACACTGTTTTGTTTAACTAACCGCACAAAGTTTGGTTTGCGATCAATATCTTGCCCACATAAATTATATATAATTGTCTTTCCCCTTGAAGATACTATTGTTAACTTTTAAAAGCTTCTTCCTGAGTCTATAAAGATGCCTACAGCTTAACTATGATCACTATTATTCTCTCCACAGAAAAAATCTGTTGGAAATGAAATACAGCTGTTACATTCAAGCTGGGTGCAAGAGTTTTACTACACAATTACATTATGCTTCCTCTTCTTCATATCAAAAGAGCTGAACAACTTGATACTGGAAAAAATGTCTCAGTGGGAAAAAAAGTGGTTATAGATAACAAAATTGAAAGCATTTGAGCACCTGGAGGATAAGCAATCGATAGAAAGAGAGTTTACAGAATGAACAGCACTTTTGATATTAATAGAAAAAGAAGCAGGGAATAAACTACTTTACTTACAAGCTTATGACAAGAGGTAAGATAAAATAAAAAACTTACCAACGGTGGCATTATTTTGATCGGAGATAATAGTGAGACTATGAATATTGGAGGAGCTGCCGGTGTGAGGTTTCTTGTATGCTAAAGTTGGAGTGTTGCTGCCTTGAAGCTGTTTCTCTACCTCTGAAAACCAAAATGCAAGAATTCTAGTTTTAAAGGCATGGTCATATTATTAAAAGAACAAGGTCAAATAATTCTGAACATTCAGATGGAACAAAAGATGTCTCAACGATAGCATTTTTGTGGCTTTCTCAGAGTACGTAACATGTCATGTCATCAAACTGAGAAGCAAATAGACTAGCCTGTGGTTTACAGATTAAAATAGAGTGGATCATGAAATAAAGAGCTGCTAATTTTAGCTCATTTCAAAAACAACGTAGGTGCCATTAATTCTTGGGTGCAGAGAATTGCTTTTATGGATGAGCCAGAATTAGTACTTCCTTACTGCGAAATGCATTTTATTTCTTTATTGCGACCATTTTTGCAGATTAATACAAATGTTAATAACAAAAAAATAATATTGGTTATCATGGGTAGAGGCCCCAGAAATTCGTTCGCCTGATTCGCGCAAATTTTCAAAAAGTAGTTTTTAAGCACTTGGACCAAGCTCAGAGGCATCATGGAGTTCCGTTGCTTTCGAATATGTAATCAAACTTCGCGAATTTCGGCATTTGACGCGAATTCGCCAGTTTACACCACGAATTCGCGAATTTCGACGTAATTTGTGCTGTTGCTAGAAAATTCATGGAAAAATAATTGTTATCGAGTTCGGAGCTGCCGATCATTCCAGAGGGGACACGGGAAACTTCGTGAAACTCTGGTTTCCATCATCAACCAATCGTAGATTTGTGCTTCATTACTCAGTAAATCACTGACACTGTCAACCACGTTTTTTCAAATTTAAAATAAGAAATGAATAGAGAACACACAATTTTAGCAAGAATTTGGCAGTTACTAGCTATAATTTTAGAATTATCGTCAAGGATTTTTGGGTTCTCAGTGAGTTTGAAAATAAACAATGTATCATGAACAAGTACTCACCCTCGATGATGTTGGACTCCTGGAACATGTTTTCAAGAGCATGGTGTATGTCGCGGAAAGTAGGTCTTTCTCCTGGCACCCATTGCCAACACTCACGCATGAGCTCATAAATTTTTGGAGGACACCCAGGGGGACACTCCATCCTGGTAAAAAGAAAATGAAAAAATAACAACTCACATTTAAGGCGAAAATTGCCTGGCAAAGGCCTGGTAAAGATTCTATTCTATTCTATTGTTTTTGTTTCTTCTTTATTTGTTTGGATCAAGGCTTTAAGGCCTTGGAAGAATTTTTCAACAACGATTTATTCAACACATTCCGAGGCCTAATGAATCATATTTTTGTGCACTCTTCTTATAAAAATAATATTTTACATACGAACACACTACAATTTATACAATGGGCCTGTTGAAAACTTTTGCTAAAGCAAAAATAAGAGTTGTTTCCTAAAGATAATGCCTCAAAAATTACGATGAGCGCAATGGCAAAGTCTGAAATGCACTCATAACTTCACAATCTGCGTCAAAAATTCGAGTTTTCTTGAGCTTCCCGCATCGAAAACGATACTACGGCACAGGTGAACATTTTCTTAGAGGAGTCGCTCCATCATCGGCAATATTCATCATGGCCAACGCTTGCACAGTTCCGTGAGTAATTCGAGGAGAGTTCAAGGTCTATCAAGGCGTGCGAGGAAAATATGAACGTAAACACGCCGATTGTTATCTGGTCTAATCCTGTTCAGGTGTTATCTCGCCCCATCACACGTGTTTTGGCGGATTGGCGTCGGCCATGATGAGTATTGCCGACGATTGAACGACTCCTCTGACAAAATGTTCACCTGTGCCGTAGTATCGTTTTTGAAGCAAGAAGCTCAAAAAACCGTAGATTTCTTATGCAGATTGTGAAGTTATGAGTGCATTTCAGACTTTGCCCATGCGCTCATCGTGATTTTTGAGGCCTTATCTATAAGAAACAACTCTTAGTTTTGCTCTAGCAAAAGTTTGCAACAGGCCCATTATACAATTATACATTTTATACAATTTATTTTTGTTTTTCTTAAGGTTTTGAGACACTGCTTTCAATTACTATCAAGAGGAAAGACAGATGATTGACCTTGAAGAACAAACAACATTTTAAAAAGTCATTATACATGCATTAGTCTCTTTTTAAACTTGAATGGACAACCAGACATTATTTTCTCATTTTTCATTGACAATGACTATGATTTTTCATGGAATTTGTGTTGTTGAGTCGATAAAAAAATTAGGAAGAGAGTGTCATGCATGAATATTACAAATATGCTGCAAAATCATTTTAAAACTTAATCAAGTTGGTTCCTTTGAATTGGGACACTTTTTTATCGGGGCAGCCCCTATGTTGAGACAAACCTTCTGGACAAATTGGACTACATTTTGCAATTTGGACCTATAAATTCCGGCCCAGTTTTAAAACAACGTATGTGCCATTCGTTTCCCTATGCACTCAAGTGTTTTTTCAGATGAGCCAGAATTTATAGGTCCAAATTGCAAAATGCAGTCCAATTTGTCCTGATAAAGTAAAGCCAACTGCACGAGAGAATATAAAAATATAGTGCTGAGTTTAAAGGTTGCGAAAATGAGAAGACAATACATTACTTTTCTTAAAATTTCATACTTCTCTCTATTTCTTTTTTTCTTATTTTTATGGCGATGTTGAAAAAAGAAATGGCATAACTTTTAAATTACAGAGAATGATGGATTCTTTTTTGGGGCATGAAAAATTAAGAGTGAATTGAAGGGGGGGGGGGAGTTTACCTGTAGCCTTTCTCTAACATATGGTACACATCAGTTAGATCAACACCGGGATAAGGGGACATTCCGTAAGTTGCAATTTCCCACAGAAGGATTCCAAATGCCCAAACATCAGACTAAAACAAACACAAAATAAAGGTTCAGATTCATTGTAGAACCAAACGGATCATACAAAGTTAACTATTAAACACACCTCCAATCAGAGTTAAATTGAACGGCATTATTAAAAGTTATAAATCAATTCACCAGATTTCAATAGAAACATCCTTAGTATTCAAATTAATGTGAAATTAACAAGAAAAGGCAGTCAGCAGTGTGGATACTCCATTGTAACCACACTGAACACATCTGCAGATTAAACCGTCCACTGGAGGAGTAAAATAAAAAAATTTTTACGGGGTCTTTCAAAAGCATAAAAAACAAAAAGAATACACTTGAAAAACTTTGCAAGAATCTAGTTTTCATGGCGCTTACACCAAAAGAATAATTACAACAGCATTCTCATGTACAAGCATTGAAAACTCTTTAAACTGAAACCAATCCGGTTTTTTAGGGCACCTAGAATGCTTGAAAACATATTTAAGACTTACTTTGGTAGAGAATTTATTATAAGCTAAGCCTTCCGGAGCAGTCCATTTGATTGGAAATTTGGCACCTGCGTGAGCCGTATAGGTATCGTCACGCATCAGTCTTGCCAAACCAAAATCTGCTACTTTCACCAAATGATTCTCACCGACTAAACAATTTCTTGCAGCCAAGTCCCTGTTAAAAAGTACAAACAAAAAGAAAATAAGTACATTTTCGCACTGATCAGACTTTTGAATGTACAAGGGGAGTAAACTATTCATGCAGCTTCACTGGTCTTGAGTTTTAAAGAGATTTTAAGGATGAAATTCTGTCACCTCATATCAATGGCTAAAGTGCAAAACCATGTAAGCTTTTCTGTTCGTAACTTTATAGACTTCCTGTCATGTAATATTCTTTCTTTGGAGAGCTAGGAAACATAATTTCTCGGACACTGCTTTGATTTATCTCCTCTGTAAGCAGAATATTCTGTATACTTTTCAAGCTATAAAGTTGACTTGATTTTATTCGAAAAAATAAAACAGCGGAAATTTTGAAACATTGAAATGGAAATACATGATTTCGCACTTTCGCTAATGATATTCTTATTTTTTTATTAATTCATTTAATTAATTTTACGGTGTTTTGTCAAGGTGATTTTGCATATTTAAACTCAAAATTTCTCTGACACAATTTAACTTAAGAGCCAATTGAAAAGCATGAAAAAGCTAGAACTCCAATTGAAAATGTGAGAAACAACTCGAATTTAATTTGAGCAAAAAACCAGGCTTGCACAGTCCTAGCATAGGTCAGTCCTTGCCTGAGTTGATGCATATAAGGAGGAAACTTCATCTTCAAAAAAGAGGAATGAAACGATATCTATACATTTTAATAATACAAAAAACGAATCTTCCAGTTGTAGATTCATGCAAATGTAAGTTTCTTCAATCATACCTGTGAATGAAGCATCGACTTTCCAGGTAACTCATGCCACCAGCAATTTGCGTTGCAATGTACATGAGAACAACTGCATTGATCTGTTCTTTGCTTCCATGCCGAAGATAATCCAACAGGTTGCCTTTGCTCATGAACTCCGTAATAATGTAGAAAGGTGGTTCCCTCGTACAAACACCTGAAAATTTGAAAGTAAATTAATAGATGATATTTTCTAACTCTAGGAAATATAAAATCAAAATCAAACATATACTGATAACTGGAGAAGACAGATTTAGCGGCAAAGCAGAGAGCGTAGAATGGCAACATTAATAGTTATGCTGAATTTAGAAACTTTAGTATTTTAATGAGGTCTTGGATTGCAAGACTTAGTATCAATAGCTTTTAAAAAGTTTGCCAAAACCTTAAATATTGAACCTAACTCATTCTCCTACCTGAGGAGGAGCATAAGAAAATTTTCTATTTGCCGTACTTACCAAGCAGTTGAACTAAATTTGGATGTTTCATTTCTTTCATAATTGCAGCTTCTTCTAGAAAATCTTTCAGTGCCATTGTATCCTCCTGAAATTAGAGAAATAAAATCATTTTAAATTGAGAGAATTGAAACCTAGAAAAGTATGCGGAGAGGTGGTAATGAAAATCATGACTAATTTTTTTTTATTGTTGACATTAGCATTATTACGAGTCCTTTCATTGATCCAATTTAATTTTCAACAATTTAGTAACAAGTGGAATCAAAATGTAACCACCATTATTAATCTGGTTGCTTCTAATGTTGCTTTGATGCATTAGGAAATGATTTACTGTTGAGCTAATTTCATTTCAGTCCAAAAGGCCATGCATCTATTGGTGTGTATACTTCATACATTATTATATTCCTTTTTATTTTATTCAATTTTAAAGTTTATTCTGAACAGGATTCGATGATGTATATTTGGTGAGAAGATTCAAACACGTAATTTTTCCCGACAAAGATTTTTTCTCAGATTATAAATGAATGTATTAACTTGTAAACAATAGTAAACTTACTTTAAGTGTCTTGACAGCCACTGTCATGTTATATCTTTTCCAAACAGCTTCATAAACATCACCATATTGACCGCCTCCGAGTTTATGTCTCATTACAATATCTGTCCTATTGATTTCCCACTCATCAGGTTCTGGAAAGAAATATGTTAGTGATGTCAAGTAAAATTAAAAGATCGCTAGATTTCTGATAGCAGAATTATCAAGAGTACTATCGGATAAATGATTTCCGTTCTGCAGTATTTTTACGTTTTCAAGTCTTTATATAAAAGGCATCTCAAAAATGCTGTCCTCGAGTTTTCCTCAGTCCTAAAAAAATATTCCTGATCTCTAAGAGGTTCAAATCAAGAGACACATAGAGACCCTCTACTAGCAACAACAGAAACTTTCAGGGATTCAATATTTCTCATAGACAGCAACAGTCATAGTTCTCTCTTGTTGGCTGTTACATTTTGGGTTGAGTAGGCGACTAATGAATTCGCCAAAAAAGGTTACTTCTCTATAGGGATGGATCACAGTGCAAAGAGAGATATTAAGCACTACAACCAAGTATTCTCATAACTTCATGCAGAGCACGGCGCACACATTAGAAAATTATTAGTTTAAATTAAATAACTAAAGTTTTTTTAAATAAAAAAGGGCAGTTTTTGTTAAGCTATGAATTCAGACTCACGCATAAAAAAATTGATTCTCAGCTCAGAATGATAAAAAGCTAACAAAAAACAGGTCAAATGCCCATTGTCAATACAGTTTCTCAAAAAAAGGGGACCAAATTCAAACAGTTTGAAAAGAGCTTCCCCACCTCCTCATAGTTTTACTCACCTGGACTGAGAGCAAATACGGTTGGTTTATTGTGTTTCGGAGCAGGATACAAGAGCTGCGTAATAAGGCCATCAGAGTGCATTGAATGATGGTGAACTAATTCTGCCAGAGTGTTAAATTTGCTTTCAGCAGTAACAAAAACCTAGTGAAAGGAAACAAATAAAAGTGTTACAAAAAATCTTGTATCTCACTTACTTCATGGACATTAAAATAATTACTATGCATAAATTGACTTGGAAGCTTTTCCATCCTAAAACTCACTGTCTAAGGGTTGGGGCACTAGAAGTCTAATTTTCAACCATTTTGTGCTTCTTATGAGATTTTTCTAATTTTTTGTTTCATCAAGCTTAAGTGGTATTTTAGTAGAGTCTACGCCAAAAAAGTTTAAGTACACACTTTTAGACTGCTACAGAAGATCTGCCTTTTTGCTTCATGCATTTACTTCACATGTAAAAATGACGTCAGACAATCTTATGTCAGTCTAAAAGTGTGTAAACTTGTTTGGCATGGACTCTAAATTAATCTTTTGTACAGGCATACTACTTTTTTGGTCGAACAAGGAATAAAGTCTCTATATTTCAGAGAAAAGTACTTAACACTTAATACGACTAAAGCTGAAGAATTCAGAGACTTTGAATTGTTTTGATGTGACAATGATGATCAATGATACATGACATGTCTTACCTTGCCATCGGTATCTTCATTGATCCGATAATGATAAACACGACCCTCATATCGAAGTGAGATCGACCTTTGACCAGGACTGCTCTCACTTTCGCGGACTAGAAAAGAGCCATTGATACCAGAACTGAGCAAGTATTCAGCAGCATTACGAGAAATTGGTCCATGATACCAGGAATGCTTCTCCAATGAATTGACAGGTGTGACATAGTTACTAGGCACCCATCCGACTTGTCCTGGGGATGAATGTGCCTCGCACCACTCACCACTTTTATTGTAACTAAGAATCCTGACTTGTTCCCCTGCAACAACATAAAACAAATGAATTTACTAGTTTTATCGCAAATTTTCAACTGATTTAAAGCTTAATGAAAAATTTTGTGAAATCTGATTTTCAAAAGCACTTTAATTCACCAAGCCTGTTACTAGTTGCAGGATTATCATTCTGGATAATTTTTTGTCCCCCCACTTCCCTCCAGTTCGGTTGGAACTTCTATATACTGAGAGAGGATTACCATAACATACATACTTGACTTCCTGTCATACTTCATTTTTTATATGGAAAATTACTTAGGCAATGTCATTTCTTAAAAACTTCTCTACTAACTCAGCTGAAACTAGCTGATTTCTTCTCTAGGTGAGAAGGTCCTATGAAAATTTCAAGCAACAGCATTGGTTTCTTCTCTTTTGATGAAATGATGGAAGGAGAGATTTTGAAACAGCTCAAACAAGATACATGTTCCTGCGAGTAGACTTAAAATAATTTTTTTTACCTAGAATATACAACGTAATTCCAAACGAAAATTGAGTGGCTCATTTTTCATTTTTGAATGATTTTAAACCCGTGCCCCAAGACATTTTCACTTGACAAAATACAACCATCTGATGAACTTACAGACAAATCATAGACAATGTGCATTATAAACTCACAATTTTCAGGTACAATGCCTCTCACATTGGTAGAATTAATAGGAGGAAAAATATTGACGGGAATTCATGATTAATACCTTTGATTAGATATTCACTGACAAATGGAGTTAACAATCACTTATGGATAAAAACAAAGTTGAAACATGCAGAATTTCTAGGAGAAATATACTTATAGCCTCCAGACAGGGAATCATAAATGCATTTCCATTGACTTGAGATACAGTAGGGATATATTGCCCCATTTTCGGCAATGTGATTTACAATTTTTTAAAAACATTGCAATCGCCATATCTGCCATTGAAGGTACCTAGGTACCCCCCCCCCCCCCCCNGTTACTCCCATCCAGGTTTACTCCCATCTTAAACTACTAGATGGAGACTTCAAAAGACTCAATATTTTTACAAAAGTTCATTTATGATTCTTTGGCTTAAGGCTAGAGTTATAAAAATGGTTATTGGGCACTTATTAGTAAATATTCAAAATGGAACGAGTAATGAGTATGGAGGTTATAACTGTGTAGAGAGAAAGCATAGAATAGGGAAAAAATAGAAGAGGGTGTTTATGGAAGAAAGGAAAATAATCCCCATGAAATTTTTAGAAGAAAAAGTGGAAAATAGGTGATTAATTTGACAAGCACTACTTTTTATTTTACTTCAAAATTTCACTTAAGCACTCATTGAAGCTACTCAGTACTTCGTAATTTCAGTGAGCTTTAAGAGGAAAGCCAATAAAACTTAGATTCCCAAAAAAGTTGCCTAGTAAAAAAAAACCCGACCACCTAGGAATGTTTATTTTGGGATTGAAAGGTTAGTTGTCAATGGGGCTCCAGACAAGGTGCGGAATAAAACACGCAATGTTTTCTCGTCAAAATTTGACGACAAAAACGAATCACATAACGGGAAGTCTGAAAATCAACTCTTAAACAAGATAAAAGTGTTTACAATTAACATTGGTTAAACGGCAAATATAAAAATGACGACATTTATATAATCTAACTTCCATTTCATCTGTGTCAAAAATATTTGCTGAAATCTCGTTTATGAGTTGATTTCCAGAATTTCAATTCTATGATTCGTTTTGTACGTAAGATTTTAAAGAGAATTCATCTGACGTTAATTTCTAGTTCAGACCCTGTCCAGTGGTCCATTAAGAAGCATGTTAGTCAAATCCTCCTCAAGCATACCGTAACAAACTTCTGGAGTGGGTTACCTTTCTTAAGGCTCAATTGATTTTCACCGCCAGCTTGAAAATCATAAAGAGCCACAAAAAGTTGTGGATCATCATCTTCTTGAGCTAAAAGATTTTCTTTTGACGTCCAGCGCGCAGCTAAAGGGGACTCAAGGGAGGAGGGGAGACAGGAGGAGCCAGCTGATGTCGATGGCGGGTCACCATCCGGAAGGTCTGGGATGTGTGGTAGAGGTCGACTTTGCAACAGAGCTTCTGCAAAGAAAAATAACACACTACCTTACTCACATTTGGCTCAAGAAATCTCAACATTTATTAGGCAACAGTGACTATGAGGAGTAAGACTAGGCCACGACTATGACAAACCCTTTTTGAGGCAAGCATTGGAGAGAAAAGCTTAGGGAATAACACTCTGTGTTCCCAGATACATGTGAGAAAAATATTTCTGATTTAACTAACTGCGATTCATTACAGGACTCATTGAAGAGTAATCTATTGCTGAAAGACACAACTAAATTAATGGTACTTAAAATAAAACCTCTGGCTAATTAGATGATTATCTAAACTTCAGCCTTGGTTGCAAAATTTAAAAAAAATTTCTTGTAAATTTTATCATTAAATTTTTGCAGTCTGAGTCAACTAATGGTGGACTTGTTCGTACTATGTATATACTTCCATTATGGGAGACTTAGAATTTAACTTGGCCTCAGAGGTTGTAGCATGACCTGAAAGTTTCATTATATAATCGCCAGCGGCACAGTCAAGTTTCTGTGCAAAACCATACCTCCCCCTCCTCACTTCAGAGTTAATTTTTTGGAAAATGATCATGGTTTTATGGGAAAAATTGACCTATCAAATGAGATGATGACATTCAAAAGAGAATAAGTACGACAACAATTGATTACAGAATCTGCTTCAATGAATAATGAGGCAGATTCTTTTACATTTCTTTACTGGCATGCCAGTAAAAGAGAAGATAAAAAAAATCATTACAAGTGCAATTTTTTGTGTGAAAAGTTTCATTTACACTGAGAGTGAAGTTATAGCATTCTATAAAACAATCATATATACTGTCTAACTATTGTAACTTTTGCACTGAAAGTAAACTCTTGTTGCTTCTCACAAGGTTGGCAGTGACACAAGCATGAATTCACGCTCACTCAAATCTCTTGCTTGCTAAATTAGCATGAACTCATTGCTAAAATTCTGAAGGTTATATCATCAAAGCAGAAGCTAAATTGCCATGATTGGATTTCTTTCTCTCTCATTAAAGCATGCATTTTTAGCTTATGAAATCCAAATGAGCTATATGATGCGAAGATAATCAGCTTCCACAAGCAGTACCCTTACCTCAGATCATGAGGGTGAATTCTGTTGCCTAAAAAAATCAATTCCCTGTTTAAAACTGGGATCTTACCTTGGCATATTAATACAGCTTCTAATGAGATAAAAATCTTAAAAGAGATGTCTAAGATTGATTCACACCATCAAAAACTTTGAAACTTCTATAGAATTCCCCAGATGTCCACAACAATCAGATATTATTGCCATTGGAATGCATGGAATACTTCCATTTGCAGTAGTAAGATGTGCAAAATAGATTGATCCAGTACCACGGGTCAACTCTATTGTCTCTCACATACATATGCATACTATTCCTTTCTCTTGATGACTCACCAACAAAAAATACTTCTTTTACCACTATAATTCACTCCAGTATTGTGAAGATCATTGCACCAAAGTTTAATCATGATTGGTTTTCGACAAAATATCTCTCCCAGATTAGCGGGAATGATATATTGATCAATTTACAATCGGTTAAAGTTGGACATAAAGAGTTACAGTGATGTTAAATTTGTGGATCAGTAAGTTTAAAACTGTCCCTCTGAATTAGGTGGTTTTTCATTTACTTACTTTAGTCTTAAGTATTCGATCAACTTTTCAAGCATTCCATGCGTTATCGAAGTAAAATTGATCAAATCTGTTTGGTTCTTCTGTTTACAAACCCAACCCAAACAGTCTGATCAACCCTCTGAGATCACTACGCGTTCAGTGAAAACGTAAGGCTTTCATACGTAAACACACAAGTCAACAGGGATGCTAACGAAGTCAAACAACACAGACCACTTGGAACTGGATACTTAATTCTGTTTCCAAACGATCCCACACAGTTTACGTTCACAACTTAGCTATTCAAGTGAATAAAATTACTGACTCAAAACTTTGCTAACTCGATTGCTTGAACATTCGGGAATCATTTCCTGTGCATAAATTGATTTCTTTTCTTTTTATAACTCCCTATGAAGACTAGCTAAAAATAGTCAAAGGCTTTGAACGACTAATACCAAGAAAAGCTGCAGTCTACACTTTGCGAGCACTTCAGCAACTCTGTGCAGGCATTGCAGTTTCCAGTAGGATACATAACTGCTGATAAAGACAAATGAGTCTCAGATATTGCTTGCCCATTAAAGTACCAAAGCCCAATTCACTTGTTGGTTTTCACAGACATGCTAAGTTGGGGGCGGACTTCATCTCTTAAGTTACGAGCCTTCTTCTGTGACTTGAGACTCAAGTCTACGAAATAGCCACCATATGAAAAACGACAGATTAGTACCTCTATTAGCTCAAGAGTAGCGCTACGAAATTATTGGAGGATATGAAGGATGCCTTTTAAAGCAAAACCAAAAGGGTTTGTATTAGACCTGAGATAAGAGTAACCATTGAGTCATAGTCATTGATAACACTCCAGGAGAGAATCAATATCAGGCCTCAGCATAGTTTGAAGAACTCACCACTGTGTTCGGTGAAGATGTTGGATCCATGTTGTCGACCTTCTTTGGCACTTCTTGGTTTGGTTCTTGTGTTTCTAACATTTAAGGACCCACTGGAAACAGCACGTTCTTTATTTGGCTGATTACCCATGTCTCACAAACATTCCCTGGCTGGCTTCACGAAGCCAGCGATAACGTAAAAACGATAAGAAAACCGGATCACATATTCAAATTAGGAATTAAATAACAACTACATGCGGTTACATCCCTTCGAAAGATACAAAGCGCGAGAGAAGTCACAAAAAACTATCATTATAAATTGATAAACGATATGAATAGAGTCTCTTCAATCAAACTTCAGACGCCATCTTTAACAGCAAAGACAACAATTTATAACGCATGGAGAGGGGGTAAATTCTCATGCCGACGAAGATAGGGGCATGATAGGGGGTCGAAAGAAAATTCAATGACGTCATCTTTTCCCTCCCCTACAAATTAAATCGTCAACGTGTCAACAGTCAACGCTCCGAAATCTCATAATCATCCATCTTACAATCTCACGTGTGTTTTGTTGAGGTTATGTTGTGACACAGTGTTAAAAATTCAAAAATTCTACCAAATTTTTTCATTGCGCCCTCTAAGTAACAGTATTTTTTACATTCACGTGTTCAATTAGCTGACTACCCTCAGAATACACACTCATTGCTGCTACCGCCTTCAATTTTTTCTCTAACACGTAAGCATTCATTTGCAGTGATAAGATGTTTCGCTACATCAGTCCTTGTACTCCTTGCCGTCCGAGCATGACATACTGAATCTGCACTAAAATGATGACTCTAAGTACACAGAGTCTTTTATGGTCGTATATCAAAGTGTCAATTACGAAAATCACATTAGCCAGTCATTAAAGCCAGATTTACTTCATCTGTGATAGGTGTTGTGACACTCATAGCTCACCCTGTCTAATGAGTTGGCAGTTGTTTACTTACCTCCCGTCAGCTACACTGCTGCCCTAATATTAACCAAGAGTCACTTCGCTCGATGACACATAGCAAGCAATTGTCAACCTAATTGTTGGTAGGTTTAGTAAAGAATTACCACCAAATACATACCAAGAAGTAGAAAAATCATTTGAAGTGCCTCGCACTCTCTCTCCCGTAGACAAGAGCAACACTCCAAGGAGACATCAATGTATCCCAAAGTGTGACAATGCAGAAGCTGCTAGCCATTGAACGGTGGCAGAAGAATATTCTTAGCGCCCCTGAGGCTATTTGATGTTTTCTTGGATGTTAATGTTGTCTATGTGCTACTTTTGAGACATATATTTGCTATTTTTAATGAAGCAAAGAACTTACAGATGAATGAGGTACCGTTGCTGCACTTAGGTTTATTCAAATACCAGAGGGTATCTGATAATGAAAGTTGCAGACCATGAACCAAGTAGTTTCATGAAACAAATAGCAGATTGAATAAGAAAGATGTTGTCCTAGCTGCGCTCACACGTATGATGGTCTGACTGCAAGGGCTGTTGTAAAGTTCTCTGAATAAAATTTGTATGTATTAATGACAATGTACTTATTAAAATCAGGAGTCTAACGCAAAGACTCAAAGAAATTCTTATTATTGTATCATCATATGAATCAATGATGGCAGATGACAGATGCCAAAGCTGTGTTAGGCAATGAATGATAATTTTACAATGAAAACAAAATTTAAGTATTTGGTGTTGCAAATATAGATGAGAAAAAAAAACTGGATGTACATCACAGCCTTCAGCTTTTTTTTTTTTTTTTTCATACATACAATTAACGCAAAATGAAACCCTTAAAGCCTGTAGTGCAGACTATAAAGCTGTCTACTAGGAACTCTCAACCCGAATGAATTTTTTTCAACAAGTCATGAAAAAGCACCTTTACTGAAGCTAAGAACATTTGCAAAATTATTATCGGAGTGTTTTCTGTCTCCAGGTTTAAGCAAGTAGGAGAATTGGAGTTTCCAACTTCAAACAGTAACAAATATTGATACTAAGTAAAGCTACAATGTCTAGTACAATTCATCTTCAATTGATGAATACGACTTATTGCAGCAAGCATCTCATTAATATCTTTTTTTTTTGTTTACAGAAGTTAAGACCCACTGCCACTCTCCTGCCATGATGAAATCTTCCTTCCACTGTGTGATATTTTCTTCTACTGAAACGCTGAGCTACATCTCTCCAATTGTCTCAAGTATCAACTTTCACAGCGAACAGTTTTCACCAACAAGAGGAACCTAGCGACCTTTTGAATTAATCGTCCTGTGAAATCTCCTTCAAAATTTTGTAAGGGCACTTTTTACTTAATGCCTCCTTAAATTTTTTGTGTCATGTTTTGCTTTTGTCCTTATATGTCTTGCTGACTGTCAGCACTTCAGCGCTTGATTACTCAGAATTTGTGCTGCCTTTAGGGTTTATTGTAAAAACTATAACCGTACATAATTCAAAAGAATATATCCATCATAATTTTATCCTTTTCCAAAATGAAAAATATTGGCCTTGAAAGAGTGAAGGAGCTGCAAAAACATGTTGACAGAATCCGAAACATTTGTATTATGGCCCATGTTGACCATGGAAAAACAACCTTAGCTGACTCCCTTGTGGCTAGCAATGGCATCATTTCTCAGAAATTAGTCGGAAAGTTGAGGTATATGGACAGTCGGGTTGATGAGCAAGAACGCGGAATTACTATGAAAAGCAGCTCCATAGCTTTGTATTACTTAAAAGATGAAAAAGATTATTTAATTAATTTAATAGATTCACCTGGTCATGTTGACTTTTCATCCGAAGTTTCTACCGCTGTCAGAATTTGTGATGGAGCTATAATACTAGTAGATGTTCTTGAAGGAGTGTGTCCGCAGACCAAAGTTTCGTTGAAACAAGCATGGTTAGAAAATATTAAACCAGTGTTAGTATTCAATAAAATAGACCGGCTAATATTAGAGAGGCAGTTGACGCCTTTAGATGCCTATATTCATCTCACCCAAGTTTTAGAACAAGTAAATGCAGTAATTGGAGAATTGTTCACCTCTGATGTTCTCTTGAAAGAAGATGAACAACCTAAAAGTGCAACGGAGTCTGGAGATATGTATGCCAATTGGAGCTCAGGACTTGACGCTGCTGATGATTCGGAGTGTTACTTTTCTCCAGACCAAGGAAATGTAATATTTGCTAGTGCCATCGATGGTTGGGGATTCAGTGTCAAGAAGTTTGCCAAATTATATTCTCAGAAACTAGGTATCGACGAATCTCAGTTGCAACAGGGTATATGGGGAGATTATTACTTAAATAAGAAAACCATGCAAATAGTCAAAGGAGCGCAGGAAAAAGCAAAGAAACCTCTATTCGTCCAGTTTATTTTTGAAAATATTTGGTCGCTGTATGATACAATTCTCATCCGCAAAGACACAGATAAATTGTTAAAAATTGTTGAAAGTCTGAATTTGGAGATGAAGCAGCGAGATTTGCGGCAGACTGATGCAAGAGCGAAACTTCAAATAGTGTTCAGTCAGTGGTTACCTCTTGCTGAGGCTGTATTGAGCATGGTCTGCACTGAATGTCCAGCCCCAAATGAATTATCTGACAAAAAGGTTGAGAAACTTCTGTCCTCATCAAATCAGCCTTTCCAGAACCTACCACCTCAAAGTCAAGCTCTGAAGTCAGAGTTTTTGAAATGTTCCAGCAGTGATGAAACGCCTCTTGTGATATTTGTCTCCAAAATGTTTCCTGTAGAAAGGAAATGTTTACCTGTAAACAAGCAGCAGCCTCTTACAATGGAAGAAATCGCTCGTAGAAGAGAACTTATAGCCAAAGCAAAGTTAGCCAGAGAGGCTGGAATCACTCCTAGCACAGAAAAAAAGGAGCCTGAAAAAACTGATGGATCCGAAACTGCAGACAGCAAATTAGCATCAGTTGCCAGTGATAAAGAAACTGTGGTTTCTGCAGAAAAAGCAGAAGAATCTGAACATGTATTTGTGGCTTTCGCTCGAGTTTATTGTGGCTGCGCACGGAAAGGTGCAGAGGTGTTTGTCCTAGGCCCTAAGCACAATCCAGCACTTGCCTTGAAAATGGCAGAAATGGGTCATGTTATAGATGATAAATTAACGCTACAAAATCTTTCCCAGGGTCAACATATTATGCGTGCGAAACTTTCCGATCTATACTTACTTATGGGAAGAGAACTTGAGAGTCTTGATGAAGTGCCTGCTGGTAATGTCTTTGGGATTGGAGGTCTTGAAGACTACATCGTAAAAACGGGTACTTTGTCCACAGAATTAGCTTGTCCGGCTTTTAGTGAGTTAAATCTAATGGCAGTCCCAATCTTGAGAGTAGCAGTTGAGCCTGTCCACCCTGCAGAGTTACCGAAACTTATGAAAGGTCTGAAAATCCTAAATCAGGCTGATGCTTGTGTCCAAGTCATCATTCAAGAAACAGGTGAACATGTGCTTGTTACTGCCGGAGAAGTGCATCTCCAGCGATGTATTGATGATTTGGAGCAACGGTATGCAAAAATTAAAGTTCGTGCCTCTGAACCAATCGTCCCATTCCGTGAAACCATAGTTCCTCCACCCTCAGTAGATATGGTAAATGAAGCTATCACACCTTCTCAACCACAACCTATGAAAAAAGAAGGTGACAAGGATGGAACTAGTGAATTGATAACGATGAAAACAGCTAATTCTCAATCAACCATCATCCTCAAAGCTGTGCCTTTACCTCAAGATGTTACGAAATTTTTAGAAAACAATTCAGAGTTAATAAAAATTATCTATAAGTCAACTAGTATCGAAAAGAAATCTGTCTCAGAATCATTGGTTACAGACGAAATGAATCTTATGAATCTAGAAGAAAAAGATTTGCTATTGGATGAGAAAACAGCAAGCACTGTTAAGTCCTTCAAAGAAAAATTAAGAGGTATGTTTAAAGAGGCTGGAGAACCTTGGAGTGAAAATTCAGTCGATGAAATCTGGAGTTTTGGTCCTCGGTGTTGTGGACCCAACATTCTTGTCAATCAGATTTCCAGCTATAAAGAACGTTCTATCTGGGAAAAAGTGGAAGCTCACCAATCCAATCCATTAACCGAGTATGATAGTAGTTTCATCGGTGGTTTTCAGCTTGCAACTTTGGCAGGACCTCTGTGTGAAGAACCCATGATGGGCGTCGCATTTGTAGTTCAAGACTGGACTGTAGATTTCAGTGATATCCGTCCCACAAATTTGGCTTTTGGTCCACTATCTGGTCAAATAATGTCCGCCGTAAAAGACGGTTGCCGTAAAGCATTTCAAGCTCAGCCTCAGCGTTTAATGGCAGCAATGTACAGTTGTTCGATCCTTGTGAGTGCGGAAGTGTTAGGAAAAATGTATGGAGTTCTAGGTAAACGGCATGGTAGGGTTCTGCATGGTGACCTAAGTGAGGGCTCCTCATCTTTTAATGTAACTGCTGTACTTCCCGTTGTAGAAAGTTTTTCCTTCGCTCCTGAAATACGTAGGCAGACCTCTGGTTTAGCGAGCCCTCAGTTAGTCTTCAGTCACTGGGAAGTCATTGATATTGATCCTTTTTGGGAACCTAGCACAATGGAAGAATATCTGCATTATGGAGAGAAGGCAGATTCTGAAAATAGGGCTCGTATCTATATGAATGCTGTCCGAAAACGTAAAGGGCTCTCAATCTCTGAAAAGTTAGTTGAACATGCTGAAAAGCAAAGAACATTGTCGAAAAACAAATGAAAAATTGATTTTAAATGTATTCTTAGATATAGCTTCAATTTTAAGTTTTGTTAAATGCTGCCTAGTACATTCATTGTTTAGTTTTTAATAAAATAAGGGTTCAACCTACTTTTATTTTTTTATTATTTTATCCCTTTTCCTCTACACTTACAAATAGTGACAAAAATTCATTGATAACTGATCCATTTTATAAAAATTAGCCCAGATATATTTACCAATTTAGATGGGTGTGACCTTTGCGCTTATGCAGAAGTGTCTCTTATATGTCTTGATTCCCTCCCTCTCTTCAGAAAGATTCTCAAGATTATAAGACTGTCCCTACAAATCTCAGGGTCTGCTCATAAAATCGGATTTTTGACTCCCTTTTTCCTCCCTTATCGCACTTATAACACAACTCTGCACCCCTCCCCCCCACTCCAAAAAATAATGTATCTAATGCTCGCAGTTCGAACCCCTTTTCCTAACATCAGCAATCTGTGATTAATTTCAGTTTCAAAATTGCTACCTCGCATTTACTTTTCATTTTAGATTTTTGAAATTCAATTTTAAGTTAAAGTTTTACTATCAGCATCTTACTTTTATCATAATAGTTTGGTCTGAATTTATTCGGTATAAGTAAGAAATTTTTTTCGAGTGACCATTGTTTTCGCAGTTTTATTCCACTGTTAACAAAACTGGAGCAAAATTTATTAACTGACTATGTTTTACCTTACGAATTTACATTTTGCTAGTGTAACCAGCTGTGAAAGACCCTCCTGCAACCTAATTATTACTTATTCTTACTTCATAAAGCGGGTAAACTCTAACTAAACTAAATAACTAACTAATCTAACTCTCTAATTAACTAATTCTACTCTCAATTTGTGGTGAACCATAAATTATTTACCGGTGCTCAGAGTTGCTAAAAGAAATTTCATCGAATGAAATATCTGAAATTTCATGAAATTTCTTTTTTCCTCATGAAATTTCTTTTGACCGACAAAATGTCAAACATTTTCTCTCAGATTCAAGAAAAAGTAAAATACCTACCTACTTACTGATCTCAAAATCTAGCACTTCAAAGTTCAACAATACAGGTACGCTACTTATGTATCAAATATTTCCTATTTAAAAAAAGAAATACGTTAGCGAAGGAAACTGTTAATTCCTGAAAAATCACTTAAATTGTTTCAAGGATAGTTTAAGATCCCTCCCTCCCTTTTGTACCAAGAAATAAGGTGAAACTATTAGGGGGTACTAGAATTCTTTATAGTTAAGAAATTTGTTTTGTTCCAAGTATGAAAGCTAACGTTTTACTTTATCTGTAAAATTTATTTTGGTGTTCAACCAGTACGACTGTGTGTTCAACCAAAAATTGAGAAAAAAAATTAAAATTATGTTTTTGCTGTTTTACTCAACTTTCTGGATATTTCTAAAGTTCCCTTTCACAGTTTACCATGTGCGTATGAAGAGACTCAAGGAGATTCATAAGTTTCTAGGGTTTAATCCTGAATTCTGTGTGTTAAATGAAATTTCTTGAAATTTCCTCACGAAATTTCTTTTTATAATCTTTCACGAAATTTCTTAACTCTGCCGGTGCTAGTCTGCTAGCAGGGAAATAAAAGAGCGACGTTTTACATTTGCGCGCCACTGAAACTACTTTTTGATTGGTCGGTAACTTTTTCGAGACAGCATAGTTGCCAAATGGAAAACATGTGAGGCTTTGAATTTTGATTTATTTTGAATCATCAAATGTGAGTGTTACTTTTATTGCCGCTCGATATTTTTGCTAGAGCCCTCTTCATTCGCCGAATCCAAATGTTCAAACATTTTCGTTTTCCCTCTCAGAATGTAAAAATCAGTGAAAATGTTCGACTATAAATGAAGTCTCTAAGCAGCTGTAATGCTGTTCGATTTGACAACAACAAAAATAAGGAAACAATAACAATAGAAAGTTTTAGAGGTTAAATTTGACACTTCAGATAGGTGTTTAAATCAAGTTAGCAAAAGAAATTACATATCAAAACCTCTAGAGAAAGTCAGATAATTTTTTTTGCCTACACCTCTCAGCCGCATAGAGCCTTTGCATCTGAATTTTGCTTCAATAATTTCTCTCATACTCCATTTAACTTTAACTGTCAATGCCTTCTTCATTCCCTGTGTTCAATTTCTGATAAGGATGTATATAGCAATCGCTGTATTTTTTATCATACTTTGTGTGATTCATTTTAAAATATCATCTAAGTGTGCGAGATACGAAGCAATTTGCAATGGGATACCAGGACCCAAGCTGTTGCCTATAATCTGCAATTTTTTTGAACTCAGTTTCAACCCGGAAGGTAAGTACACAGTTCATCTGTTCATATTTTTCAGTAAGAAAATTTGAAACTCAGGATAATACATCCATTATTTTAACGTAAATTTTAATGAAATTATGTTACCTTGCGTATCATTGAAGAAATCACAGAAAATGTTTTAGAATGAAGTTGATTAGTTCCCTAAAGACAGTGAAATGGGAGCTGATGTAGGTAGGTCTGCATTTGGCATGAAAATATATACACAGAAAAAAATGAAATTGCTGATTTAACAATTTTGTAATTTAAGAAAAATTATCCAACATGTTTCAACGTAGATTATTCAATAGGAAATGCCTGTGGTTAAATTAGATTTCCACTATTGTAAAATGTACTTTTGGAACATGTCGGACGTATTTTTAACAACTTTGTTAAATTACTTAGCGTTCAATTTTTCTGTGTACTTATAAAGAGGGTTAAACCTAAAACCATCCATGTGCAGAGTAAATATTGAACACTTGTCATTGCACACTAGTTAGTCTGTGATGTAAATCATAAGAAAAATTCAGTAATATAGTTATTTAATGACTAATAAATCTAGGAAAACCAAGTATTGTTACCTGCTCCATGATCACTAAATTTTTATGTTGATTGTGCCCTATTAATCATAACTGTGGCAACAAAAAGGAAATTTGAATAATGCAGAGATTTTTTTCAGGGTAGTTTCAAACTATCTGCAATTATTGTATCAGTGGCTTTGTATTTCAGGTATCTACAGTCGCTTTCCTGAACTCATCAAAAAGTATGGAAGAGTATTCAGAATTTGGCTTGGACCATCACTACATCTTGTTTACCTCTCAAAACCTGAGGAAATAGAGGTGAGTCCCGAAAAAACCTGTTAGTGAAAGCTTCCTTTTCAACATGGATTTTAAAAAAAATTCCAGAAGGAGATACTCAGAGAGTGTAACCAAGTGTGACAGTGATACTTGGCTAGATTGAAGAGCACAGCTAACTACTACAGTCAGTCTTGCGGCAATGCTTATACATGCAACTCATATTCTTCTTTGCCTGTTTTAGAATTCCCTGTTTAAATTATAATTTTTCTCGTCCCAAGGGATTTGCTCCATTACCTCCCTCCAAATTGTTTTTCTAACAAAAATTCAAACATGTAAAATAACGCAACATCAAAAACAATACTTTCCATATAGTATCAAATCGTAATTTTACTTTTCATTGTAAGGACTCAGAGTAATCAGAATGTTTACCCCCTCAGTTTTATAATTATGAAAGTCGTATCGAATGAGGAAAACTTTGAACTTCTCTCTGTTTATTTACCTACCTAACTCTAAATTTCAACTTCTTCACAGATTATCCTCGGGAGCACCAAGTACATCCACAAAGCTGAAATGTATGAGTATTTCGAACCCTGGCTAGGCAGTGGATTGCTAATAGCAAATGGTCTGTACATTCCCTCGTCTATTTATTTTTTTTTTTTTCATGTCAATTTTACTTCAATTTCTGTTAGCTTATTGATTCATTGCACATTTTATTTTTACAACTTTCCTATCAGTACTAAATAATTAATGAAGTCTGAATCAGTTAATAAAATCAGAGAGGTGTCCTGTTCATGATATTGATCCTTCATGAATATGCTCCCTGAAGATAGATAATCTGCAGATAAAATTTTCGATAAACTTTGTTGCACTTATTGGATGCCCTTCGGTGCAAATGACCCAAATTGTTACTAAGTAATAAATATATGCTTCATGTTTCAAAAAAACGAAACTGAAAGCTTACTTTCATCATCCTATTCACCTGTTCTTGCCCTAGCACAATAAGTATTTCTTAAATGGAAATTTGGGCTGGAAAATTCAAGTAAAATTTTTACGTAATGGAAAGTTGGTCTTGAGTGAAAAATGATCCGAAAGTAATTTATTCCTCCATCCATCGTGTCTTCATGCAAGCACAGATGCATGTATGTTTCTTTGTCAAATCTGGTCTGAAACATTCTTTTATTTCATTTCAGGGCCTGTTTGGTTTAAGAAAAGGAAGCTAATGACATCAGCTTTTCATTTTTCAAACTTGAACAATTTCATCCCTAAGTTTAATACCAACATTAAACTTTTACTCAAAAAATTGGAAGAGCCAGCTAGAGGAGAGAGTTTCAATGTGTATGACTTTCTAACATTGTGTACCTTGGATATAATTGTTGGTTTGTATTGTTTGCACAGTTTTTAATCCTCTCATTTTTTCCTCACAGGTAACTTGTTTTTCCATCTATAGATAAGCACAACAAGATCCCAACCTCTGTTATTCCTGGGTCAAAAAATGTCGACAAAGTCTTAAGTTTCAAATTCCTCTCAAAAGTAAGGGTACTTACGAGGGTCAAAGTTGGCCTCATCCGTTAATTTCAAGAAATCGCCAAATTTTGCAGTTGCCTTTATATATTTTTTAGAAATTTTGGGTTTATGGCAATTCTCACATTTCCTGTCCTCGAAACAAAGATCCTAACTTGGTTGCAAAGGCCGAAACTATAGGAAATTCAAGTTTTTCTATGTGCTCCATCCATTGTAAGTTTCATACTAGGCCTCAAGGTGACGATAGATGTGCTTTGGATAGGTACGGTTGGCTGCCACCTTTCTGCTTCAGACTGCTTCCATTGTTGTTGAGTTTAGACTTTGTCTGGAGGTGGCTACCGGCACCCATGATGTTGTTGGGGACCATTTGAAATGTTCAAGCGTCAGCTGTCAGTGCTGTCACTGTTTGTCCCTTGGTTAAGAATTATTTTCTTCTCCGTGAATATATTGTTTTCTCATTGATTAATTCAATGAAAATTGTATATTCAGAGTTGCAAAATATGACTTGCAGTTTAACTTGTGATCTATAGCAGAAATCTTAATCTAATAATTCCAGAAAAAGTGCATTCAAGCCTCAGCTTTCGTAGAACTTTCCATTTTTTCTTTTATTTTCTTCTTTTTTTACATTATTCCCTATTTTTTTTTATTATCCTATTTCCATACCTTTCACCCTTATGAAGCATGAACATGGAATCACTTAAATTTTTAACTCTTCATCTATGTGTTTGTATTTCTTCCAGAGTCAGCAATGAACACTAAAATATATGCCCAGAGTGAGAAAAACAACAGATTCTTGAAAGCAATGGATGAGTAAGTAAATTAATAAATTAGAAAAAAAAGTAATGACCGTAAAATCTACTTTTCTGCCAGCTCTTGTCAATAATGAAATCATTCATAGTTTTGGAAATAACAAGTTAATGGTCAGGCTAAATTCTGTGATAAAAGTTACCCAATCATTCTAATCATCGTTTAGCAAAGATAGTAACTAAGAAGGGCTTTTCAACAAAAAATGTATACTTTTTTTTCTCTACCAAAAATTGTTGAATGACGTTTTAACATTATCGGCTAGAGTTTTGAATAATTAATCTGATACATGTTCTTGTTTTCGACAGTTTTTTTTCCCCCTATGCACATGCATTTTAGTTACCTACTGTTCCTAAAGACCTAAATGGCTGTTCACGTTTTGTCGTGTCAATTATTAATAAAACTCAAGTTCTGCTCATGAAAATACTATTTAACCATGATTGCTTTGCCTTGTTTGTAGGGCTGAGTTAGCCATTTTGAAGAGGGGATTTTCCCCTTGGCTTCACTCAGATGGATTTTTCTCAAAATCTTCCATCGGAAAAATGTTCTATGAATCTGTACGCCTCATGCATGATCTTGCTGACTCAATAATCAAAATGCGAAAGATGGAATTATCAGATAAGAAAGAGGAATCGTCCTTTGAAAATAAAAATACTGACAGTATCCTACAAGACCGTAAGTTTTTTTTTTGTACCTCTTTTCTTTTTTTTTAAATACCGTGAATCTGTAACTAACAAGAAGTTGACATTAATTAATTTCAATTCTCTGTTGTTCTTCATTTCCTAGGATAGAGTATTATTGCCCCACTGTGATTGATAATTTGAAGAGTACCAAGTGCATAGAGAAAAAAAAAAGGTGGTGACAAATTGTTTTCACTGTAACCGAGGTGTAGGTGGATACAATATGGCATCCGTATTCCTGATGTAATCCAAAATTCAAAGTGTAGGTAACGGACCGTAATGTTCGTAGGTCTAGTACAAGACAACATAACATGTAATTTCAGACAATTTTTAAGGTAATACTTATTTGTATAAGCCACACTTTTTTTTTTAAAGGAAAATGGATGATTTAAAAAATCTGTACCCACTTGCATGTGTCATCAACCTTTTTCCAAGAATTCGGAATTACCACCACCTTCTTGTTTTTCTCTATACAGTGAACTTCTTTTAATATAAGGACCAGGTATCTCAACAAATTTTCAGACAACACAGATTTTAGAAATTTATATTTTCGATTTTTAATGCTGACCGCCAGCCTGAAGCTCCAAGCGTTCTAAAATCATGATAAATTCTGTAAAATAGTACATTTTGTTGTTGACTCACTTCCCTTACATTTAAATTTCATTCACATTTTAGCATTATTTAGATCAGCAGAAAATGTTTAACTTAGGTATCTTGTATTTATTATCATCTCAGGATACAAGAAAAATATTACTTTCCTTGATATGCTTCTGAAATACAACGAGGACGGAGCAGGGTTCTCTGACGTCGACCTCCGATCAGATGTTATGATGTTCATTATGGCCGTAAGTTTTACTCTGCAGTTCATTATGTACCCTAAAAATTCCTAATTTTTTAATCATTGGATACCTTTTGTCTTGGTCTCTTGGCATTCCTGCACAGTCCATTGTCTCGAATTTATGGGAGAAAATATTGATTTATGCATATGAAATTATTTTCAATATCTTATCCCAGGTAAAACAAAAAAATTGGATTCTGAGCGCAAGCAGCAGCAATACTGTAAATATCTACCTGACTTAATAATTATAGAACTTTGCCACATGGCGAGAACAAATTTAAAGTTTAAATGAGGTCAGTTTCTGCATGATCTCCTAACGGTTAGAATAATGATTTGGAACTTGAGGGGAGCAGTCAGAATGTAGATCCTGAAATTTCCTATGAACGTGGGTAAATTTTCATTAAAGAAAGTATACATAACTTCGGCGCTGTTTATTTTACTGTATCATCTTTTCCAATTCTCATCTTCTCTTTCAGGGTCATGGAACAACTACATGGTGTCTGTCTTGGGCTATGTATTTGCTGTCTAAAAATCCTAACATCCAAGTAAGTCTGGTCTAAGCACCAAAAGTTGGAAATTATATGTTTGTCTACAGTCTCCTATACTTTCAAGATCACTAAACATGCTACATTAAGGGTATATTAATATTTAATATTTAAATGAAACAAAGAATGTGAAAAGAATGGCTCTCAGCACTAAAATGTAGAGCTGATTGATTTGCTGAAATATTTTGTCTTCTATCATAAACTTTTCATCAAATATAATGAAGGAAACCCAATGTGAATGGTTTATTTTATGTTTGGTTTCACAAACAGAGATCTAAAAGTGCAAAAATTCGGAAGGGTTACTTACATGAAATGGCAATCATTCCCTTATTATTTCTTGACTTTGAGAGGAGAGGTGCATTGATAAAAATACAAATCTTTTAGAATTAGTTTAGGTCAAAACAAAATAAAATTGGTGGTTAAATATGGAAAATTATGCAACTAATATTATTTTAATTTCAAGCTGGATTAATTTCATTGGAGCAAAATTAGTCAAAAATCTATTATCGTAGATTCGCATTGTTGCCCAAATTCAGATGGAATACATGTATACAAAACGGCGCATGAAATCTCTGAGTCCCCTGCATGATTTTTATGCAGGATGATACAGAAAGATATGTTTACTGATGAACAATTCTTGTGAGATGTTGTAATCTTACGCGTTGATTTCCCTTTATAAAGTTAATTCAAACATTAGTTAGACACAGAGATTCTGTCACAGTGGTAGAGCAAAAAATGTTGAAAAATGATGGTCAGAGGTGCAGAAAGTTCAAAGGAACAAAAATTGGTCAGTCTCAGCCTCCAAATTTCATCATTTTTTGAAAAACCCCTCATGCCCAAAAAATGTCAGAAGTATGTGTTGAGCATTACAGTTTCCTTTAACACACTAGTGTTATCTCTCAATTTCCATTCACAAAACGAAAGAAAGAAAAAAGGCACCCTTTGTTCATGAAATAATTTATAGCCACGCAGGAGACTTTTGAGCTTTAAATGCTTGGCCATTTTTGATCACCTGATGCACCTCTGCTACATCCCTGATGATGGTAAGTTAGTAATTCCATAAGCCCTCTAATTCGAATTTTCCTGTTCCCAGGAAAAAATGTACGAAGAAGTTATATCCGTTTTGGGTCCTGAAGACAGAGATATTGAAATCAATGACCTTCTGGAGTTGAAGTTTACAGAAAGAGTCATAAAAGAAACGTTGCGACACTACCCGTCTGTACCGTTTTATGGCCGGACTGTTCATGAAAATGTTAAATTACCAGGTGAATTATTGTACTCTACATATTATTCTTTTTCTGATTACAGTGATTTCTCCACCAAAAAATAATTTTCCACTTCAATTTCTCTGAGTTTTCTCTCCTTTCGAAGCACTTCATCTAACACTAATTTCAACATTATTTTCTTCATAACATGTGTGACCTTTCATCTAAAAAGATGTTGATTGATTGCACTTTTAACACTACATAAAATTTGGAAATATAAAAACTACTCCAGTTTTTCTACCAATCAAATACCCCCTCCATGTAAATTTCAAAGCATGAGGATAATTTTAATTTTATGAAGTTTTTATTCAGGCTAAGTAATAAATTTCCACTACCTCTATTTTAAAGTCATCAAAAGTTTAAATCAATGTTTCTCAAATGAATTCCTGTATCTAGGATTGCTGTGTCTTCAATTTATCCAATATCTGAACTGTAAGCCATGAATGATAGCTTTCTCATAATTTCATTTACAGGTGGTTATGTCATCCCTGCCAACACAGATGTGGGTATTCTAACTTACTGTCTTCATATGGATCCAGAAATTTATGAAAATCCCAAAGAGTTCAATCCTGATAACTTTTTACCAGAAGTTTGTGCCGCTCGACATCCATATGCATACATTCCATTCAGCGCAGGGCCTCGCAATTGCATTGGTGGGTATTTGGTGTAAAATCCACTGTCATTCACTTATCCATGTAACAGTTAACTTACTCTCTCAAAACAAAAATAAAAAAATATGCCCATCTTAGTTTGCGTTTCCAAAAACATATGTAGTTAAATGTTAAAATCTTCCATGTTTAAGGGACGTATTCACTGCACCATAATGCTACTTTATGACAAAATTTAGCCTCAAAATCGAGATAAACTGCTTGCATTTTATATTTTAAGAACCTCAATGAGAGAGCATTGTGACAAAATTAAAGGATTTTGGTGGGTACCTGTACATTATGCACCTGAAAAAACTTTAAATTTTCGATAGTAAATCAGTACTCTGCATTTGACCTAAAAAAAAAAAAAAAACTCTACATACTGACCCAAAACGAAAAAATCAACAAAATCCTTCCCCTCACAATTTTGACCTACTGGAAAAGGTCCCATTTTCCATGGACATTCACAACTGACTTCAATTCATTCTGGTTGATAGACCTGTATTGCAATGATGATTGAGAAAACATGGACCATCTTGCCCAAAATATTAGAAGTGCGGCATACTTTATCAAGAAGTCAAAATTATTGACTTTTTATCTTGACGCACCTAAATTAACTGTTAGTCCTTTCTGTTAATCTCATTTCTTGACCCTCAATGCAGTAGAATTTCGGTGGGTGTCCATACAAAACACATCTGAAAAAACTTTGAATTTTTGGTAATGAATCAGTGCTCTGCTCTTGACTGAAAGAAAACCCTACAAACTGAAAATTCTAATTTTAGCTCAAATTACTCACATCATAGTTTCCTTAATAATTCTGTCACAGTAGTTCATGATGGAGCTTAATGGGTGTGTTACAAACTTTTGCTAGAGCAAAAATAAGATTTGTTCCTTACAGATAATGTTTCAAAAATCACAATGAGCGTATTGGCAAAGTTTGAAATGCACTCCTAACTTCACAATCTACGTAAGAAATTTGCGGTATTTTGAGCTTCCCGCTTCAAAAACGATACTACGGCATAGGTGAACATTTCGTTAGAGGAGTTGTTCCACCCAACCCTTTCGCAACAGCAATACCCAACATTGCCGCTGCCTCCGCGCGCAAATTGCAATAGGGAGCACAAGGTCAACCAAAGTGGATCTTTATCAACGCGAAGAAATCGTCAATCTAATTGTAAGCATGCTGGGTTGTTAACAAATGGATAGAATTTCGTCCAGGCATACGGGTTTTGGCGGATTGGTGTCAGCTATAATGAGTATTGTGTGGTGTCCAAGTTCACAGGGGTTGGATAGAAGGACACCTCTAACGAAATGTTCACCTGTGCGGTAGTATCGTTTTTGAAGCAAAGAGCTCCAAAAAAATGCAAATTTCTTACGCAGATTGTGAAGTTAGGAGTGCATTTTAGACTTGGTTGATGTGCTCATCGTGATTTTTAAGCCATTTTTATTAAGAAAGAACTCTTATTTTTGCTCTAGCAAATGTTTGCAACAAGCCTATTACAGATAAAATGTCATTATCTTTCAGTAATATTTCTTCATTTCATAGTTTATTGATGTGATTATGTTTCATTTCTTTTCGTTTAGGTCAAAAATTTGCAATGCTACAGCTGAAATCAATTTTGTCCTCAATCATCAAGAAGTTTAGAATTTTACCAGCCTCTGATGCGCCAGCTCCATGCCCTGTCACAGTTCTACTTTTCAAGTCCGACACAGGAGTTCATATTCGACTCGAAAAAAGGAATTGAGAGAATTTATTTCGTATCAGAAATATCATGTGTGAATATTTCGTCATTGTTAACGTAGCTTTTGATTTAAGAAGGCCATTTTAGTTTTAGTAAGTAAAGGGAAATTTTGGAGTCAGGGAAAAATCGGAAAAATCCAGGAAAGTAAAAAAGAAGAAATTATGGGAACCCTGCATATAACTTGTATCATTAAAATGTATTTGTATTTTTTTATCATTTAGATGCTTCTAATTTTTATAAGCTTCTCTGTTGTGTACTGCTAATTTTGTAACAAAGTGCCAAAAATTCAGGGCTTCCTAATTCTAATTCCAATTTTTTTAAATTTTATTTTTAGAAATTTAATGTAAAAAATGGTCTGCCATTTTTGTTCAATATTTTTGTGCCTGTAAAATGCACATTTTTTTTGTTACCTCATATTTTATTTTTAAAAAGACTCATCAAAAATGTATTTGTTTATCTGTTTTTTGTTCTGTTTGTTGTATTAACATACCTATCTATACTTTTTTGTTCTACTGTTTTATATGTTTTTGTGATTTCAAATAAATTTTATATTTTATTACATAGATGATTCATTTGGTATTTTGTGTTTTATCTCTAAATACTCAATGAAAAAAAAATGACTGATGTCATTTGAATTCCAAATTTTTCATCATCTGTTTTACCAGACAAGAAAAAACAATGAGTAAATTAGTTTCAAAAAGGTACACCTATATTCAGCATCAATGAGGCATTGAAAATTTCTTATAAAAAAATGTTGGTGGTTTAATGTAGAATTCAGAGTCAGGTTCAAAAATGATCTTCAGGTACTTCAGCTGCCAAAGTAACTTTCAGATGAACCAAGCTACACTGATAAGGACCTATTCACATTTTTGTGAGAATAAGTCCCATGAAAGATCTCAAAAGTAGAGATTTTTTCATTACAGGAATTGCTACCGAGGAAAATAGAAATCTAAGTTTCAATTGTCTGCCTGACAGACTAGCAAGAAGTTTTCTTCAGACCTTATGCTTCGACAGTATCCATATTCAGAAGTTTCCAAAGTTATCGCTCCACCTTTTTTATCCATTGAGGGCCAGGATACTAAGGAGGTATTGCAAGAGCCCATCCGCCTCAATGAGTATCAGGAAGTTGGTGGATGTTCAAAGTATATACAGGGTGGCTCAGACCTACCGTACCAGGCTTTTTTCTTGGTACGTTTTAGATCAGACGAAAAGAGAATCGACCTCAAATAAACTGAATTTCATGGATCCAGAGCCTCGCTTGGCCCCTTTTGGAACGTAGAAAGGGGGTTCACACTTTGCAAGTTGGCATTAAGTCAAAATTCTGAAATCATTTCATTTGAATCATAAATTACGAAAATTGTTAACCTAGTTCGACACCAAGAAATCAAATTGACTCATACGTGTTCGAAATACTAACCCGTTGAGGGGGGGGGGGCAGAGATCCTCCTCAAAAAATGCAAGTTCAGTTCGCAAAATTCACATAGAGGCTCGTAATAGAGATATTTTCATGTGTACTGGACCCCTAGGAATCCGAATTTGAGGGTCACGTCGTTCCCAAAGGCTTCCTCAATTGGGTATAAAGGGGATTCAACACCGCTTAAATTTTCTATGATTCACCCGAAAATATTTTTTTTCTCATCAATGGGCGTATGATTTAAGTAGGTACATAACAAATTTGCGTAAAACCATAAACCAAATTCACAAATAATTTCAATGTAATATTCGCAATCGTTCAGGAATGAATGAATAAATTTGCAAATTGAGTGTAACGTTCTATAGCAACGAAGCCCCTCTGACTCTCATCCCTTCATTTATCGTTCTAGGACCTTGTCGCAATAGCGAATGACCCGCACGACTGTACCTACGTACAGGTCCTAGGATGCTGCGCTGTGGGCAATACAGGTGTCGATCCCCCCCCCCCCCCCCCCCCCCNACTACCCTTGCTTTATGCTCCTGTTGTTAGTCCGTTATTATCATTGGAGCGATGACTCACCAACGACTTGTAACGGCGCGCTGCGCTGCGTGTATCATCGTCTCTGTTGTGAGAGAAATAAAACGCCTTCAACTGAATGTATATGCAACATTGACTTCCATCGGATATGAATAGTTGCATTATTGCCAGGCCCAGGCGTTACCGTATACTCCGCGTTCCGTCCCGTTCCTTTTGTACATAAGCTAAACGCGATGATCCATTTTGATTACCTATACATGATGAGTACAACCCTTTTCAAGGAAAATATAGCTAACTGTAACTGAAGGATTCAGAATTATAAGGGCACGGAGTGAATTTTTCTAACTTTAAAAGAATAACCGTAACTTCATTTTTGGCATGATGAACCTTTCACAGCTGATACTCAAATCTTAAACTACCTATCTGATTTCATTGGCTATACCATTAATTCATTTTCTCTTCTTATTTTTTTGGTCCTTTGATTTATTCAGAAATAAATAGTCATCTAATTGATGTCAAAAGTACAGAAAAAAAAGAAAATAATTGCGTGTCTCCATTGCAATGTTTAAAAATCGATAATTATGTTTCATTTTAAAAGGAAGTGAAAGCAAAATATGTTTTGCTAAAACCATCGGTGGACATACCTTGATAAAATACCATTTATTCAAATACATCCGCAGAACTTTTCAAGGAACCATATACCTATTCTGTTTCATATCCATACGCAAACAATTTCATGGAAAATTGATGATTACATTAAAAAATAAATAAAAGGAACTGAAATCAACAACAAAATACAAAATAATAAAAATAAAAAGTGGTTTAGTAAAAATCTTTCATGAGAAAACAACACTAAAAATTGGCCCAAATACTGTATGTAACAAGGTGGAGAAATGGTAATTGGTTACGCGGGGAAAGTTTCGCGGGGAAATCAAAGCCAAGAAGTTCCAAAAAGTTAGAGTTAAAAAAATGTATTTTTGACTCTAATTATGATTTTTGGAACTTCTTGGCTTTGATTTTCCCGCGAAATGGTGTGGACCCGGCACAATTTCTCTACCCTGTAACATAAAAATCTTAATATGACGAAAACACATCAAAGTCATCTCGAGCGAATTACTCGCTCGTTCTCAACTGGAACAAAAGCTGTAAATGAACAACTAAAACAAGGAGATTTGCTAAGAAATGTTGCATTAATTAGCTTGTGAGATTAGTCATTCCATTGAACATGCGCTCCGAACTAGATAGGACACAACAATCCCAACATCAAAACTCGGCAGTTTTGAAAACGCCTTCAATTAGGGCGTGATACCTCACGCATTCCGGAGAGTACGAATAGTTGTATCATTGCGCCTTACCGACGTGACGGAAAATTAAAATGGAAGCAGCCTCCACGCGCGCCGAACTTGACGGTTTTCTTTCGAAATTGTTGCAATTGTGACCACATAATGTAAGCTGAAGCTAGGATTTTTTTCATTGAATGAGTGATTTTCATGCGAGGATTACCAGTCAACAAATAATAAGAAATTGAACGAAATAATGAGAACTCACATCAACAATAAATTGGACGTATTTATATCAAACGGAACTAAGCGCCATGGGGAGGAAGGGAGGGGGGGTTTGGATATTGGCGGGTGTTGTGGAACGCGATGCTAGTCCGTTCTATACTCGCAATGCTTTTCCATGGCGCTTAGTTCCGTTTGACAGAACGCGCTTTCTGGGATTCTAAAATCCTCAAAAGGAACTCAATTTGGGTCTTAGTTCTGTTTAACAGAAATACAAGAAAACTTTGTAAAAAAAAGTGTATGAAGCTTAGGTAGACCAAAGAAACATTCAGGGCGTTTTGCAAAATTTACACGTTCATTCTTAATCGGAACACAAATCATAAATAAGTAATTGAAACAAGGAGATGGGCGCAGAACTCTTGCATTAGCCCGTAAGATCAGTCACTTCATTAATCTTGAGTTCCTAACTAGATGCAACACAACAATCTAAATAGGTATCGAAACTTGGCAGTTTTGAAAACGCCTTCAATTGTAGCGTGATACCTTTCGCATTCCGGAGAGCACGAATAGTTGTATCGTTGCGCCTTTCTAAAGCAACGGAAGATCAAAATTGAGGCCAGCCGTGTCGATTTTCCTTTGATATTTTTGGAGTTGTAACCACAGAGTTGAAGTGTGCTCAAGCTAGGATCGGAATTAGAAAAGGGTAATTTTTACAGGAGGATTAAGTAAAAAATAATCAACCTATAAGAAATAAAAATAAAAATAAATAATAGGAACTCAAATCAACATTAAAATACAAGGAAATAAAGTGAAAAACTTTCATATTTTTTTTTCTTTTTTGAAGATGACAACACTTTCTTTCCCCGCAAGGGGAGCAAGAAAGTAAAAACATGTATAAATAGCTTATTTAGAACAAAAAAACATCCAGGTCGTTTCGAGCAAATTACACGCTTATTCTAAACTGGAACAAAAGCTGGAAATAAAAAATTATAACAAGGAGATTTGCGAGGAATGGTTGCATTAGCTTGTAAAATTAGTCATTCCCTTTATTTTGTGCTCCGAACTAGATGAAACACAACTATCCCAATATCGAAACTTGGCAGTTTCGAAAACGCCTTCAATTGTAGCGTGATACCTTCCGCATTCCGGAGAGCACGAATAGTTGTATCGTTGCGCCTTTCTAAAGCAACGGAAGATTAAAATTGAATTAGCCTTCACGTTGGCCTCGTCAGTTTTACTTTGACATATTCGCAGTCATTACACTAACTGTACGTCAATGAAATTTTAAGAGCTTAAAAGTACATATCCGGAGTTTAAAAGAAGCTAAACCAAATTTTAGGCCTTTATACAGACCAAAATAAAAATCCGAGCAAAATCACAATCGAGGTGAACGCCGCGAGCACACCGGCGCATGGCGGATCGAATCAATTAAATAGGTCGGACGTGAAATTTTTGACAAAAACTGCAACTTTCGATGTTAATTTCGTCACATTTTAAATTTTAAGGGGGTTTCCAAAAAGAAAACCTTACAAGGGAACCAGTGGAACAACTTTTAGAACCATAAAGTTTTGTACAAACTGAGATATAAGCGTTTAAAGTTTCCAAATTTTGTCCAACCTCTCCTATTGACTCGATCCTTTGTGCGGCCCCGCCACCAATGGAGCTAGAGGGTTAAAATTTGCTCAAGCTAGGATTGTACTCAGCACGTAGGTAATTTTTATAACGGAGAACACAAAGAAAAAAACAGCATCGGCGAAAATGTGCGGAATTATTAATATGTTTGCAAAAATTTTACGAAAGCTAGAAGCATGACGCACAGCTCGTCGTATTTC